TCTGACATAGATTTGTTTTATATTTCTATGACTAGTATGATTCAACCTTTAAAAATATTAATTTTTAACATATATTGTGGTCTCTAAACTATTTGGTTTCATGTGGCTTTATCTAAATATATTTCTGACTCCACTGGTGTTTATAGCTTAAAGCTGTTGCTTGAATCAGTAAACTTTGTGAGTAAATACACTCTACTTACAATTCTTAGACTGTGTAATGCATTTTATCATTCAAGTATTTCAAGCCAACATCAAAATATCCCAATTCTAATTTTTGAGAAGAATTTATGACTAGTCATCTTCCAGAATATAACCCTGTTTCTTTCTTCTTGTGCTGAGAGGTGCTATAGCAGAGTGGTCAAAACTGCTGATTCAAGAGCCAGACTGCTAGGACTTGAATATCAGTTTATTCACTAGCTACTTATATGCCCTTAACCTCTTTGTGTTTCGATTTTTTTATAAGTAAAATGACAATGTATGTAAAGTGTTGACACATGTAAGATATTTAGAAGGGTGACTGAACACAATATTATTTGAATATACCAAATAATCATGGGTAGAAACATAGGATATATATATCCAGAAGGTATCCAACCATGTAATATGAAAAATAGAGACATTTACTGAAAAAGATACAAGATATAAGAAACGTTGTACATAGGACAAGGACACCTCAGTCCCCTTCGAAGTAGGCACTGTGGAACCTCACACAGTTCTCCCAATCCCCATCAGCTGCCCCACTGTATTTCCCTGAATCTTATTGATGGTCTGAAATCTCTTCCCTTTCGAAGGTGATTTTAGCTTTGGGAAAAGCCAGAAGTCACAAGGCGCCAAATCTGGCTGTCGCAGGGCTGAGTCACCTGGTCGTTTTGATGTTTTGCCAAAAAACTGTACACGAGATGTGATGCCTGAGCAGGTGTGTTGTTATCAAGCTTTCAAGTAGCAGTTGCTCATAGCTGCAGCCTTCTGAATCACCCAAATAATCTCTGCAGAGGAATGTTCAAGCTTAACACAAAATTTGATGCAGATCTGGTGTTCTACTTGCTCAGTCATTCTGAATGCGATGGCCACACAGTACACATATTCACTCAGAGGCATCTACCACCCCCCCTGATTAGTACAGTGAAATGGTCACTGTTCGGGCATGTGCATTCCAGTCCACTCTCCTTGGCTGCCAGGCCACATCAGTGTTGCACATGTTGTTTTCATAATATTAACAACAGCTGAAATTTTTCTGCCATATATGTTGGTTTGATTTTTTTCTTCTTTTTTAAAGATTTTGTTTATTTATTTTTAGAAAGAGGGGAAGGAGGTAGTAAGAAAGAGAGGGAAACATCAATGTGTGGTTGCCTCTCACATGTCCCCTACTGGGGAACTGGCCTGCAACCCAGGAATGTGTCCTGACTGGGAATAGAACTGGTGACCCCTTGGTTCACAAGCCAGCCCTCAGTTCTCTGAGCTACACCAGCCAGGGTGATTTTCTTATCAAAACTTTGTAACTATCTCTGTTTCTTTTTGTAATGGTATCATTTATTTCCAGACAAATCAATAGGATGGCAGGTTGCTCATTCCGACTGGAGTTTTGAATTCAACGTACTGTTTTCTCCCTATCCTTTACCAGTAGGAAATTAGCAATTCTTTTTCTTCCCAGGGCAAGCAGCAGATTTTTCTGGTATGCAGTAGAGCCTAGGGGACAGTCATTACTGTGCTGAACTTCAGAAGATTTAATTTCTGTCAGTGAGACGAGATTCTCTGTTACACATCTCTTTGGATATCATTTTCCTTTGTCTCAAATTCCCCTTTGCCTGTCATTGTGACTTGGATTTTCTAAACTATAAGTTGCCTTGAAGCTGCATTGCAGAAGTTATAATTTTTTCAAATTTGGATCCAGTCTCTTTGAAAAAACCTTCACCCTTACTTAGCAACCAGAGGGACAGGATTTATTTTCCTTCGTTTCCCTCTTCCTGTCACATTCCTGTACTTCCTGTCCTTTTGAAACAGGATTCTCACTCAAATACAAAACTTCAGGGATTCTTATTGGATACATTTGTCATTGTAAGAAAGACTTTTCACCTGTTCGATGGGATGGTATTTATTGAGGTATATTAGTTAAGATGCTTTTTGGTTTACAGACAACAGTATATCAATTTCTAACTCTAACTTTTAAAAAGTAATTTATTGGCTCATATAACTGAAAAGTAAAGAGGTGGGCAGAGCTCAACAGGGGTTTGAGTAAGTGGTTCAAACCTTGTGAACAGGACCCAATGGCTCTCTTTCTCTTCTGTTTCTCAGGACTGCTTCTTTACTGTTGGTTCCATTATTGCCAGCTATTCCTTTCATGGTTCCAAGGTTAAATTCTTGAGGCTGTGTATTTCCTCATTGATATCCAGTAAGAAACAGTGAATTTGTATTCCCAGCAGTTTAAAATAAAACTTAAGAGTTGAGACCCACTTGCTCCTACTAGCCTGAATTAAGTGTTTCTTGAACTAAAAACTGTGGCTATGTGAAATAGATATGCTGATTGCAGTAAGCCAACCTGTCCTGGAGGTTTAGCCAGTCCTCCACCAAACCATGTGACTGGGAAATGCAGTGTAGAGTTAGAAAGAGGGAATGGGAAATGGCTGCTGGAGAGGCAACTAACAAATATCTATTGTAAAAAGCATTCCTCAAGCCTGTTTATTTTCTGAAAAAGCAAACTGAGCAGTTTAGCAAAAACTAGTAATCAGATCACATAACTAACTGTTGAAGAGTTAGTACATTGATCACGTGTCACATTTTTTTATCATAAGTAGATAATTGAGTTTGGAAAGTAAAAAAAATAATAGAAAGAACTCCCTAGTTACATTATAAATTCTTTATAGGCTAAAACAATCCATTTATATTTGCATTCTGAGCATCAAGTATGGAGTTTGGTACCTAGAAAGAATTTTGTAAATATTAAACTCTAAATTTATACAGTTATGATTTTTCCCAATATGCATTATTTGGTACAAACAAATAGCCTCTTGTGACTTAAAGGACAATTATTCCCATCTTATACATGAGAAACTGAACTGTGAACGTTGAGTAATTTGCCCCAAATGTTAACTGGGAGACTCAGGACTTAAATCTAGTTTTTCTGATTTTAAGTTGCATAATTTTACATTATTCCATGTTTCACATGCCTCAGAATGGGAACCAGCTGAAGAAAATTGTGATGTTTTCTCTCTAATAGGCAATTGGATTATCCTTTTCAAAAATTAATTATTTTAAATTTACCTGGGTAAACCTTATAAAATTTAGCCAAATAATTCATAGATAAATTGTAAATGACTGCGCTCATGTAGAGATCTAAAAGACTGACAATAAACCAGGGCATTCAGAACCAATGAGGCTCATTAATGAAGTTGGTGATAGATAAGCATTCATAGAGTTAACGTAACTTCTTTAGGAGCATTAAAAACATTACAAACCTCCCTTTTAATTATTTTCTGTTACCTATTTCTTCTTTTTCAATTTTTTTCTATGGATGCTAGTTCTGAAAAACTAGAACATTATAGTCTTTGATATATAGAAAGCACAAAAAATGAAAGTCTACTTATAAAACTGGGTTATCTGTGAAAAAGACCATAACCACTAAAAGAGGGGATTATTAAATATAAATCAATAAATAAGAAGTTCCTGAGTTATGACATCTAATTAGAACACTTAAACAGCCATTATCAACTAGTTCCTCCAGAGAATGAAACCCTAATGATAAAAGGAATCCACTGTATGTAGTAATGAATTTCTCTTCCACGCATCTAGGATGGTACTAGTTATGTGCCATCCATGAGAGGACTAAAATATGAGTCACTAAAATAATTTTGAGTGTAATAATATAAAACTCAAAATACAGTAAGTTAAAAGTTGGGCTATGCATACAAATACTTTAGTTTGAAAACCAGGATGGTTATTATAGTTGTTGTTTTATAAGATGTTGTGGTTTTATAAGATGAGAATACAAAAACAGCCCTGCTTCAAATCTGGTATATTTTTGAATGTTTGTAACTTATAACAGAGCTATATTGAGCATTTATATACTAGTTGTCAACTGAAATTCATCAATAAATTTACTAATCAATATTTAAATTTTCTCCTTGTCCTTTGACTAGCCCAAATTTATTTCCAACCAGGCAGTGCTTGTTGGATGTAAGGTTTAAAATACCCATTTTGGTTGTGTACCTCCCAGGATACTGCTGACACTAGTTCTCTACCCACCCGTTTCCCCAAATTCTGAGTTTTTGTTCTTCCTAAGTATTTAAAGTCAAATTTTACTTTAGTACTTCTTTTTCCCTCTCAGTTTATATCCATGTTAGAGATTGAGACTGATTTTTTTTTTTGCATTCATGGTCTAAAATATCACTTTAATCTTTTCTAGCCTGACAGTTTTTGCAAATATAATTCAGCCAATGACTGAAAGAAATGGTATGTATCCTTAAAAGTTTCTATTGGAAGGTTAGGAATCTCAGGATTTGTATCCAGACTCAACTCTCTAAATAGTTGTAATGAGAACATAGTGAAGAAAAAGAAAAAAAGATGCAAAACCATGAGCAAAAAAATCCAACATTAATACAAATGAAATATTAGCTTGACCAATCAGTTTAGGTTTTAAGACATAAGGTGAATCTCTTAAAGGGATTACTTTAATAAATTCAAATAATTTATTTGAAGGTATGTGATAAAATTGCTAAAGACAAAAACAAAGTCTGAGCAATGAATTTCTTGGATGTCATGTGATGAAAGCTCATTGCCACATACTAAGGAATCCTAATAATACTAGAATAGTTTAGGTATAGGAGAAACTCTATTAAATTAAATTCTGTGATGAAATATACTCAGTGGCACTTACACTTTCACAAAAAAGCACTGCTGAAGATCTTTCAGAATAAAACACATCTTCCATAATATGTTACAGCCTACCTCCAATGATAGGAAGTAGGCGGTATGCTTGCCAAATCATTTATGCAAAAACCTCTTACCCGTTCATCTGCACTGCCTGTTGCATGATGGGAATAACTGATGAGACCAGGGATGGGCTGCTCACCGTGTGCCATGATAACAGCAGGACTGGTGTAGAATGGATGCTTCTAATGCACAACACATAACAACTATGAATATAGTGACAAGAAAACATGAAACTACACAAGCAAAATGACTGGAAAGGAAAAAGGGTGAAAAACAAATGGAACAATGAAATGTCAAATCAGTTTAGATTTCAAATGCTATAATCTTTTTTTCTTAAGATTGAAATTGGTGGTGCTTTTTACTCTTTTAATTAAGAGTAAAAAAAAAGAACATACATTTATTTTTAAATGTACCTAATTCACCAATAAGTTCCATAAAAACAAAACAAAACAAACCTCACACACAACCTAAATAGTAGTCTTAAGTAACAACTTAATGGGTCAATAAATAGGTCTCGAGATAGAATCATCTGGTCTTTAGTGAAAGAATCATCTACTAGTTATCCGAATGGACACTTCAAAAGGATCTCTATGATACTTTATAATCTATATGCTGTCAAACAAAACCCTCATGCCAGCATCATAACCAAAATATCTGGATGATCCATAAAACTTTAGGAATTACTTAAAATGGCAATTAGATTTTCAATCTGTATGCTTTCAATCAATAAACAGTCATTATTCCCAGAATTGGTATGCTATTTCCTGATGATTTTAATGCATACTGGGTAGATTATACTAGGTATGCATAATAATATAAATCATGTTCTGTGGTTTTAAGATGACCAAATTCATTCAAGTACCTCATGGTACTCTACTCCCAGAATTTCCCCAAAAGAAGTTTTAATACTTTGGAAGTATCCTAATACTAGTACTTTATTAAATTAAAATGAAAATACCTTACATCCATTTCCTCTCTACACCACTGTGGTAATTTGTGTTAAGTTACATTTAAATAAGTGCTTAGTTAATTGCTGAAAAGCCTTACATTAAACAGCCTTTATTTCCTTTTTAACTAATCTCTTGAATCATCTAAGGTCTCCTATGTTCAGTTTGCTGTTCTTTTAAGAATTGGTCAATATTTGATGTTTTGAATTTATGAACATTGTATATTTAGTATGATAATACAAATGATACCTCCAAAGAGTTCTTCAATATCACACTGTTTATTATTGCAGCTATTACTTCACTGTACCAGCAGACTCTTTAAACTCAGAACACCCTTCAATGTGTTCAAGGACCCTACATTATGGAAGAAACATCTGGAGTGTCGTGAGTATCCCAGTTCTTTAAAGGATGTACTGAAGAGATTTTAAACTTAGGGAATGATGGCTTGGGAAGATTGATGAAGTCAGTACATTTACCTGTGGGTCCTTTAGATCTTTCAGTCTCTCAGCAGGCTTACCTTGGCAGCAATAGCTGCTGCTGTTATATGTGATGAAGAACTGTCTTCTGTGGAAGCAACACCACTATCTTTCTTCTCTTCTTCCTCTTCCTCACACTGAACCCCTTTATCTTCTGTCTGTTTATGAGGGCTAGTTGTGGGAGGAGGGGAAAGAGGAGGTGGTGGGGAAGGTAAATCTTCAAGTTCATCATGCACTTCCTTTACTTTTACAATGGCATCACGTAAAAGATCAATGGCATGAGGTAGAGCTGGCAGTATGAACTGAAAGCATTCCTGTATACAAGAGGGAAAAAATGAAGATGAAGCACTCTTGCAGGCATATAAAATGGAAACAATCAAATTTATCTGTGATTTTGGATTTGTATTTCTCTTATCAGTCTTAAGAATAAATCATATTTAAAGCATTACTGTTGTAATATGTAACATTAAGTAGCCATGGCATATATTACAGTATTCTGTGAAGAACTATAGTACTATATAAGCACACAGTACACTTAAAAATTTTTTATACAACTTTGGGGTTTAAAGATATATTATGAGGGAAAAGACAGTTTTCATTTTTCTAATTAGAACAGAGCACTATAACAAACCAACTGAAGACGGAACTGTTTTATTCAGAGATCTCAAGTTCTGACTACCATCACAAAACATAGTTAGGCAATGTTACATTAAGTTTGTACAGAACACTGCATTAAAGTCAACACGGTCTTCTGGTCAGCTGCTCACTATTAATACTATATCACCAAAAAGAGAATAGGTAAGAACTTTAACATTAGAACGTAGGGCCAGATATGTTTGGGGAACCTGTTTGGGCAGAGGCCTTTCTCTTTTACATTTAAGTAACTTACCTTAAAATGTAATCTGTAAAGATGTATCTTAAATTCATGTAGGGTTACTGGACAATGTGAAAGTGTGCCCAATATTTTGACCTCTCTTTGTATGACTCAATCACTTTACTGATAAAGGCTGTATTAAAAAGAATCTAACCTTAACCAAAAGGAGGTCTGGCCTTTACACTCAGACTTTGGGAGTTGACCTCTAGTTCCTTGGAATGTCATGCCTGATTAGAATCATCTTTGTGCCCTGGCCAGGTGCTCAGCTGGTTGGAGCATTGTCCCATACACCAAAAGTTTGTGGGTTCAATTCCCAGTCAGGGCACATATCTAGGTTGAAGGTTTGATCACTGGTTGGGGCATGTATAGGAGGCAACTGATTGATGTTCCTCTCTTTCTCCTTTAGTCTCTCTAAAAGCCTGGGACTTTAGCCACTGGACAATGTAACGATGTGGTTTTTTATGAGGGCTTGGGGAAATATAGCACTTTTGCCTTTGGAAAGAGCTAAATGACAGCTATGTGGGCAATATGTGATCAAGTCCCAACAATAACTCTAGATACCAGAGGCAAAGTGAGAGTACCTAGCTAGCAATACTCTGTGTGTACATTCTTATATTATGGAGAGAAGGCAATGAGAAGATGCCCAGAAGTTCCTCATTTGGTGCCTCTCTTAGACTTCTTCCCTTGGCTGATTTCAATCTGTATTTTTCCCCCTGTAAAGCACTGTGACTGTGAGAATAATAGCTTTCAGTAAGTTCTGTGAGTCCTTCTATTGAATTTTTAAAACTGAGGGTATTTCAGAAATCCCTTGAATTGCAATTGGTGTCAGAAGTGAGGGCAGTTTTGTGCAGTGTTCCATCACAGTAGTTGGCTAACTTATGTAGTTGGTCAATACTCCCTACAATTGGTGTTATAAGTGCCATTTACTAGAAAGACTCTGATGCATGAAACATGTGATCTGGAAGGAGGAAAGATGAGAGAGTGAGGAATAATGACTCTTAAGAGCCTGAATGAACACAGGGTCACCCACAGAATGGAAATGCAGCTGTTCTGCAATTAGTTATTGAAGATAAAAGTTAGCAATGGAATTTCAAAATGAAAGATTCAACTCCTAAGGAGTTATGCCATTAGATGTAAAATAAATGCAAAATAACAAGAAACAAGGTACATATACAATCCCTTGGTTACTGTTATCTGTGCTAGCAAAAATGAATGTAAGGGAGAATGTTGGGTGGATGCTGAGGCTGAGCCAAGCTGAGATTCTGGCTGGTCTGATACATATAGTTGGTAGCCTCAGAGCTGCTTCCAAAGGAAAAAAGTTAGGTTGAAGCAATAAATAGTGAATAAAGTTAGAATGATTCATAAGAGAATGAGAGATACAAGGAACTTGTCTTAGCAGGGTGGAAACTGAGAATATCATGCTCAGCAAAATAAGTCAGACAGAAAAAGTTAAGAACCATGTGATTTCGCTCATAAGTAGGATATAAAACTGAAAGCAACAAATGAACAAACAAACAAAATCCCTTAGACACAGACAACAGTATGGTGGTTACCAGGGGAAAAGGGGTGGGAGGCAGTCAAGGGTAAAGTGGTCCAATATATGATGACGAAAGAAGATTTGACTTTGCGTGGTCGGCACACAATGCAATATAGAGATGTACTATGAAATGTACGTGTAAAACCTATATAATCTTATTAACCAATGTCACCCCAATGAATATAATTAAACAAAGAAACAAAAATGAAAAGGCTAATAAAGTGAGCACTGATGGGGGCAAAACAAAGGTCTTAATGTAGCACTGTTGTGGGTTGAGTAAACAACTGGGAGCACTTGCTGGTCTCCTGATAGAAGTGTCTTTGTTTTCCTGGGGACTATGGCCACTGGGTTTAATATGAGGGCTTTTTGGCTTAATATGAAGGCTTTGAGTCCTAAACAAGTCTCTACTGACCTGAGTTTAGAAATATTAAAAAAGCTAGAAGGCAAAGACGACTGTAAAAAAACTCACCTTGCATCATTTAAAGTGATGGTCCCATAATCTAAACCCAGACATAGAGTCTGGGTCCCTTGGCCCAATGCAGGCCTAGAAATCCAAGGCCATATGCACAAAAAATGAGTAAAATGGTCAGGGAATGAAGAAGAAATTTGGGGGGAACTTTTTGACATGGGAGTCCCATGTATTGTGATTCTAAAACCTGTTGAAGTCTTAATGAGGGATACTATTAATTCGAGAGGATATAGGAATGAAATAGAAATTAAGATAAAAGTTTGGATGAAATAGAATGTTTGTACAGTGAACTTTTTGTAAAGCGGTGAATATCCTTTACTTAAATATATTATGGGAATGGATATTGTGTTTGGAGAATTTTTCCTCTACTTAGTATTGTAAAACAAGGCATGCAAACCACTCTTCCACTGATATAGATTGGATATGCTAAGTGGGAATCAATAAGACTCTCTCAGCCCACCAAGGTCATTAATTTGCTGTACAAGAGCCCTGAGTGGAGTGAAAACTGGGGCTTATGGCAAAAACACGTGAGTGCCACCCAGCAACAACGTCTGGGATTTTGGACCAGAAAATTTCTATTTGGGAAGGCAATTACTAGCTTATTATTGAACTTTGAGACTTCTCTTATTATTGACAGATATAAAATAATATAATCTTGAAACCTGAAATATCCATAGTGTCTTAGGTAATGTCAGAGAAATGCTCTAATGGGGAAGGCAATGCCCAGGAGAGTTCCATAATAAAATGGAAATGGTGGATATAGGATCATGCTACCAGGAGAATGCAAGGAGGTACTCACGAGCAGGTAGCCTCTTTTCACCTAGGGCCGACTTCGGAACCACCTGAGGAGCTGCCGGATCCTATGGCCACTTGGGCCACTTGGGCGGTGCCCTATAAACAGCTTTCTATTGATCAACAAAGAGCTGCTTGGTTTATGGATGGCAATTCCAAGGTGAAGGGACAGCATCCTGTTTGGAAGGCCGCCACTCTGATTGAAGAAGGTAAAAACATATCAGCTCGATGGGCTGAACTGCATGATGTTTGGCCCTATGTTTGGGTTTTTATTGACTCATGGGAAGTGTCTAATGGCCTGGCCATATGGTCAGGCTGAAGGACAATGGAAAACTGGTCTACTAAAGGGATCCCTGTGTGGGACATGGTCGTATAGGAATCACTCTAGGAATGCAAGGGGTATATTAAAGTAGAATATGTTAGTGTCCATCAAAAGAACCCCCTTCCAGAATTAAAAACTGATTGAAACTTGTAAGCAGATTCAGTGTGCTTCTTGAAATGGCTACCTGGGCCCATGAGATCAGTGGATGTTAGGGGGCTTCAGAGATGGGATGAAGGTAAATATATTCCCCTTGCACTTTCTGAGACACAAAATGCCAACAAGAACTGTTCTGTCTGCTAACAAGAGAGACAGAGATGGCAGAGGGCTATGCAGAAGATCCCACAGAGGGAAAGTCCTGCACACAGCTAGCAAGTTGGCCTGATGCCAGTAGTTCCTGGAGGCTACAAATGGGTCCTAACAGGAATAGACACTTACTCTAGACTGGGCTTTGCTTAACCATTGGTAGATACAAATGCTCAGTGTACTATGAAAGGATCAGAACAGAAGATATTGCATAAATGACCATTATACTAAGGAACACACTTTCATCAATAGAGCAATGATTTGATAGAAAATTGGGATGGACAACTGAAATATTTGTTATCTCAAAGGGGAGGAGATAAAGACATGAATGGCTGGTGTACACACCTTCATTGGTGTGTGATCACATTCAACATGAGGGAGGCCAAGGGACAGTCCCCACTAGACAGATCCCTCTACTTTTCTGGGGAAGTGAGGATTGGGGGAGGATATACATTTTAGGATATACATTTTACTTTAGGACTATACTTTTTTCCCCACATCACCTCAATTTTTTTCTACCAGATGTAGCACCTCAAGGACCAGGGCTATAACTGTTAGTGCCTATTAGTTCTGTATTTGAGTAACCAACCCTACCTTCTATGAATGGAAATGAACTGAGTGGGAGGCACTTGCTAAACAAGCATTACTGATGGCAATCTGGATTGCACAGTGACCAAATCAACTGTCTCATTTGAAGATTTTCAAAGGAAAAGTTTGTGTATAAACAGAGAGAAAAAATGATAGCTAAAAGTTAATGAATGAATAAATGAATTATACAATGAGGGAAATCCAATATTATATTGATGTATCAAAAGAGGTTTAAAACAAGAGATGATGTTGTTTCTTAGCTCGGTTGTAACAGACACCAGAAAGGGAAATGCCATATGTTGTTGAGACTATTGCTTTTGGAGCATGCCAAGCCTTAAACCTGAGTAGCGTCATTCTGGGAGGCGTTTTGGTCATATGATATGATGAGAGACTAGGCTAACTGTTAATGTGTATGTAGAAAGCCAGTTGTGCACACCAGTATCTCCTGAGTCTCATTTTTCACACTGTATATATTACTATACTGTGATATGTTATAACACTGATAGGTCAGTAAGATTATACAACTGATATCGTGGTTATATGAACTAAGAAACTGAGTTAAAGCCTCCTCAAAATGTAATACCAAAGGAAAATGACTGGCCTGAGCAAAAGAGCTTATTTCTATGCATAATTTCTATGATAAACAGTTTTATGTGAATGTATCATAGACTATAAATAGTAGATCAAGGTGGAAAATCAGTAAATCAGTACAAAAATATGAAAATGTATGTAATAGCTATAAAGAATACATTAGTTGTTTTTCTAAATCTCTTCCAATCCCACACTGGCTTTTCCAAATCTTAGGCATATTCATACTTGTACTGTTTTTGTGTCTATAATAAAAATGCTATAGTCAATATAGATGTCCAGCCAGACAAATACAATCATTTTGCCATAAGATACAGCACTGGCCAAAGGCCAGGGGGTAACTTGTCTAAATAATTAACCTTATTCAAAGAGAGTCTGGTTTTTGCCCTCAGTAACTGAGAAGTGATAGGAACATCTTTGTACTGGGGATTTGACCACCAGACAGTTTAGCAGTGTTATTTATTATGGGGGGCTTTGGGCAATGTGGTATCAGTTTTGCCTCTGGAAAGTATTGGATATTAAAGGTATCAGTCCAACTTCTGGGAAGGGCTAGAGACTAAAGGTCAGCCATATGAGCAGTATGCAATAAGCTCCAGTAAAAACTTTGGACACCAAAGGTTTGGAGCTTCTCTGATTGGCAGTACTCCCTGGGTTGCAATACATCGATACCAGGAGCTTGATACATTCATGACTCCACAGGAAAAGGATAACAGAAGCTCCCATTTGGTAATTCTCCTCTACTTCTTCCCTTGATTGATTAAATCTGTATCCTTTCCCTGTAACAAGCCATAACCGTGGGAATACCATCTTTCAGTGAGTTTTGTGAGTCTTTTTGGTGAATTACTGAAACTGAGAGTGGCTTTGGAAATGCACTGAATTGCAATTGGTGTCAGAAGTGAGGGTAGTCTTGTGAAGTGCTCCAGCTTACTGGTTGGCTAACTCACAGCTGACCAAAACTTTGTACACTAAACCATGTATTTCTTGAAGTTTCTTACCTGAGATCCTTTCTTGCTACCCGGCAAGTTAATTATGAGAGTTTTCCCTCTGATTCCACATACAGGTCTGAAAGGAAGGAGAAACTCGAGTTTCTAAATGTTGGTTTAAACACATTTAACAACAAAAATCAATCACTGTACTGCACATGTGAACAACTGTTTTAGAAATAAAATCGTTGTGGCTAGAGATGCACCAACTGCTATACAAATTGGGAAATCTAAGGTTTTTACAATAACACTTATTGTGGAAGATGGGAAATATGTGCTGAACATGGAATCAGAATAAATTAAAGCCACTTTAAAAAAATAAGAAATAATGATCAAATTATCTTTTTTTCCTAACATCAGGCTCTTCATATCTCATACAGTTGTGAGACTTTAACATTTAGTCCCCTCATATCCCCTTGCCCCCTGCAATCACTACACTGTTGTCCATGTCCATGCGTTCTTTTTCCAGTTTGCTCAATTCCTCCACCTCCAAAATTAAAATGATTTTAATGACACAGGGTATTAAAAATGACTAGTGTAATAATATTTATGTTTAAAAGGCTAACACAAAGGTACTCAAGAGCTAAATGAGACATGTGAGCTCTTCTCAGGAAGTCAGTAAGTTTTAAAGCAAAATAAGGTTTCTCACGAATGAAGGGCAGTGGTGAAGAGTTTGGTGAACTCAGTTGTTAACAGATGCATTGATAAACAGTCAATTTAATGTAAAAGGTCTTTCAGAGACCACTGTAAATTTCCAGGCCACTTTTAAACCAAGTGGTTACATAAGAAATATAAACAGTATGAAAATACTGAAAAACTGAGATAAGAGTTGAAGGACTTCATGAGTTGGAATCATGCTCTACCAACAGCTGCCTGTGTTACTTTAACCTGGAAACATCTCATTTTCATCATTTCAATCAAAGGTATTGATTAGATCAGTGTATTTCTAAAATTGCATGGGTAAGATAGAAAAAGTCATATAAAAATAATTTTCCTAAACTTCTATGATTGAGTTTATTCCTTAACTCTCTAAAATAACCTAAAATTATCTTCTATTCTGTTTTTTTTATTTTCTTATTCACAAAGAGAAGAGCTGACAGCCATTTTTTAACTCTCCATATTATTTTGTTTTCAATTGTGATTTAATTGACAAGTAACATTGCATTAGTTGTAGGTGTGGAAAATAATGGTTTGATATATGTATCTACTGCAAAGTGACTATCACAATAAATTTTGTTAACATCCGTAACTACAGTTACAATTTTTTTCTTGTGATGAGAACTCTTACAATCTACTCTCTTAGAAACTTGCAAACATACAAAATGGTATTATTAACTATAATCCCCAGGATTTAGGTTTCTTATAGGTGGAAGACACCTTCACCCATTTCACCTACTCCTCAGTCCCTGCCTCTGGCAACCACCAACTTGCTCTCTGTGTCTATGGGTCTGGTTATTTTAGATTACACATATGAGATTACATAGTATTTGTCTTGCCCTGACTTATTTCACTTAGCAAATGCTTTCAGGGCCCATCCATGTTGTTGCAAGTGGCAGAATTTCCTTTTTTAGTGGCTGAATAATATTTCACTGCACACATATATATGTCCTTCCCCAGGCTAGGGGCATCTTCAGCCATGATTTCTTCTTTACCCATTCATCTATCAATGGACACTTAGGTTCTTTCCATGTTTGAGCTATTGTAAATAATCATCCAATAAACATGGGGGTGCAGGTATCTTTTTGAGACAGTGATCTCATTTCCTTTGGATAAATACCTGGAAGTAGAATTGCTGGATCATATGGTACCTCTATTTTTAATTTCTGAGGAATCTTCACACTGTTTTCCATTCTCACTGAACCATATTACATTCATCACCACCAACAGTGTACAAGGGTTCCCTTTTTTCCACATGTTGCTGTTATCACTTGTATTTTGATAACAGACATTCTAACAGGTGTGAGGTGATAACTCATTGTGGTTTTGATTTGCATGCCTTTCATGGTCAATGATATTGACTATCTTTACATGTACCTGTTGGCCATCTGGATGTCTTCTTTGGAAAAATGTGTATTCAGATTCTCTGCCAATTCACAAATCTGATTTTTTAAAACTTAGTTTCATGACTTCTACATCTTCTATATTTATCTTTGATATTAATCTTTCATCAAGACGTATTACTTGCAAATATCTTCTCCCATCCTGTAGGTTGCCTTTTTTATTTTGTTGATGGTTTCCTTTGCTGCATAGCTTTTCGGTTTGATGTTCCACTTGCTGGTTTTTGCTTTATTGGCTTTGCTTTTGAAGTCAATTTCAGAAAAGTACTGCTGAGAATGATGTTCAGGATCTTATTCCTAATGTTTTCTTCTAAGAGTATATCTTCATGTATTATATTTAAATCTTTAATCCATACTGAGTTGATTTTTGTGTTATGATGTAAGATAGTGGTCCTATTTCATTCTTTTGCATGTGGCTATCCAGTCTTCCCAACATTTATTGAAACTATCCTTTCCCTATTGTATATTCTTGGTCCCTTTGTCTTAAATTAGTAGGGCATATATATGTGTATTTATTTATGGGTTCTCTTTTTTGTTCCACATATCTGTGTGTCTGTTTTTATGCCGTACCATACTGTGTTGATTACTCTAGCTTTGTAATACAGTCTGAAATAAGGAAGTGATTTTTCTTTTTTATAAGGATACTTTGGCTATCTGGCTTCTTTTGTGGTTCTATTAGGATTATTTGTTCTATTTCTGTGGAAAATGCCATGAAATTCTGATAAGGGTTACACTGGATGTGTAGAATGCTCTGGGAAATATATAACTTTGTTATGGTAAGGTGATTTTCTTCTATTTGCATTTTTCAGTTGTCATTAACATGAACACATACTCAGTTTTGTCAAATGATTTTTCTGTATCAACTGAGATGCTCAAGTGTTTGTTTATCCTTTATTTTGTAACTGTAGTACAAAATCATTACACTGATTGCTTTTTTGTATGATGAACAATCCTTGCTTTCTAAAGATAAATTCCACTTGGACATGGTGCATAATTCTTTTAAGATGCTGCTGAATTTGTTTTTCTAGTATATTGTTGAATATTTTTGCACCAATGTTCATAAAGAGTATTGGTCTGTAGTTTTCTTGTACTTTTTGTCTGTCTTTCTTATCTGGATAGTGCTGGCCTCATAGAATTAGTTAGGAAGTATTCCCTTTCCAAATTTTTGGGAGTGTTTGAGAAGGATTAGTGTCCATTTTTTAAAAATTTTAGGTAGGATTATTTAGTGAAGCCATCTGATATAGGCATTTTAATTATTGGTAGGCTTTTGATTACTGATTCAATTTCCTTACTAGTTATAGATCTTATAGAGCAATTTGGTTTTTCTATTTCTCTGTGATTCAATATACTAGGCTTTGTGCTTGTAGGAATTTGTCCATTTCATCTAGGTTATCTAACTTACCAGCATACAACAGTTCATAGTAGTCTTTTATAATCATTTTATTTCTGTAGAAATGGTAGCAGTGTTCCCACTTTCATTTCTGAGTTTAGTAGTTTACTTCTCTTTTTTTCTTAGTCAATATAGCAAAGTTTGTCAATTTTGTTGATCTTTTTGAAGGCCCAGTATTCGGTTTAGTTCATTTTTTTCTGTAATATTTTTTATTTTCTATTTAATTTATTTCTTCTTTAATCTTTATTATTTTATTCCTTTTGCTAGCTTTGGTTTTTGTTTATTTTTCTTTTTCTAGTTCCTTAAGTTGTAATGTTAGGTAGTTGTTCTGAAATCTTTCTTCTTAAATGTAAGCATTTATAGCTATAACTTTCCTTATTAGCATTGTTTTCTCTGAATTCCTTAAATTTTGGTAGGAATCATGGAACTGAATATGTAGGAATATGTGCTGAAAGAAAAGAGCTATTGATTCAGAATTCTCTGTCTACTGAAAATATCCTTCAGGAATGAAGGTAAGAAAAAGGTATTTTCAGATGAAAGAAAGCTATTAGAAGATCTCTCCAGCAGATTTGTCTAAGAACTGGAACTCTCAGTCAATAATAACACAGTAATGATTAACACTTAAACAAGACATCGTAAATCAGTTGTTGTTCTAAGCACTTTACAAGGATTCACTCATTTAACCCAAAGAAGACTGGTACTATTAATACCCTCATTATACAGATGAGAAAACAAAAAGGAGGTTAAATAGCTAGTAAGTAGTAGAGCCAGAACAGAACCCAAGTCACCTGTCTGACTTCAGAGATTATGCTCTTAACCATTACTCGATATTATTTTCCAACTTACTTGCACAGAAAACCTGTAGGATATTAAGTAATCAAATAGATAAAAATGATTTGAAACAGATTTGGTGAATTTAGAGTTATTATTTAACTCTGCTCTCTAGAGATAAAAACAGGAATGCAAGGCACCAACATGATACATTACCTCGAAAAATTCTGTTAGAACTAGAATGAAATACTGATTTATCAATAGCAACCATAACGAAACATTTTTTTGAGTACTTACAATATGTCAAAAGTTGTTTTAGGGGGCTGAGGATGTAAAAATGAATAAGATGAAGCTCCTGTCCTTAAGAATTTTATGCAAACTAGGTAATATAGACAAGTGAGTAAATAACTACAATATAGCATGTGTTATAATAGAAGCATGTACAAAGCCCAAATTACAGATGAGGTAAAAATGCTTTAGAAAGAAAGCATCAATCTAATCATGGATGCTTTAGGAGGGAAATTTTTAAAAAGCTTCAAAAACCACAAAAAATGAACATTCATGGAAATATTCTACAATTCCCTTTTCTATAATTCATGTAGACTATCGTCTGTTTCAAATCTGTGAAAACTCCCAATTAAGTCAGCAATGAACAAAAAGAAAAGTCAGTGGAATCTGTTATCCTTCTTTGTATGCTTTAATTTTCAAAGCCTTCAGTATAAAGATGATGAGCTTACACAAAGTACTTAGAATCAGCTCATGCTGATTAATTTTCCACTTACTCAGCAGTCCAGTGCTCAGTAATTATGTAGATTCAAAAGGTAGAAAGGAATTAGTCCAGAAAAATCTTTCAATGACACAAAAAGTAATATTTCTATAACAGATCAAGAAAGCTATAGTCAATTTAAAGAGTTACTTCAACAGATGAGAAGAACAAGTTTTCCAGGTTCACTGTGGGATCCTTAAGGTAAGGACCAGACCTTATTTCTTTTTCTATCCTTACTATCCCTAATAGTTAATATTGGGCCTGACAAATAGAGCATTACCATGTGTGCTACCTTAGAATTTTTACTATAAAAAAATTAACAAGAAATAAAGTTTGTCTTTCTTGACTTTATGTCTTGTATGCCAGAAAGAGCTTTCTATGCTCAAAGATCACCACACTTAATTCCATACAGAAAAGGGACCAAAGGTGACCCCTTGAATTCATGTGTAGGTAATGTAAGAAAGGGTTAAAAAACAAACAGAATAAAAAAATCAATATGAGCTCCTTAAAGAAAGTCCATCAGCATGGACTTTTAAATTTAAAATCTCTACCCTTCTACTTTAATTCTATTTTTGCTCTTACTAAAATAAAATGTTACAATATAGGACATGTGGGAGCAAAAGAAATACAGTATCTAATGACCACTCACACTTCCCAGTAGCTATGCTTCAAATGGCTGCCATTAATGGGATATAAACATAGTCCAAGCAATAGAAAGGGCATTATAACTCATATCCTATGCATTGAATGCATATATTTACTTTTATATTCATATGCACACAGGATCAACACATGGCTATAAATAATAACTGTGAAATGTTTAAATTTTAATGTTGCTGTGCATTTAGGTTGCTCTGAGGCCAAATGTCTATTGAATTAAGTTATTAAATCAACAGATTATTACTAGGTTGACAGTTCTGTCCTTAACTTAAACGGTACATGTTGTCATCATTAAGAGAATTTTAATCTAACAGTTGCTAAAGTAATAACCAATAAGTAACTAAACCATCAGATTGAGTATGGATCTCAACATCTATGTCAACAAAGGCATAGATTTAAATATACAAATTTAATATAATAATACATCATTAATTGAGCTTTTTTCATGGCCTACATATTAATATCTCTAGTTAAAAATTGGAATAAAAGTTCCTAACATAAATGAAAATAACTTATTTATAAAACTCTACTGCTTAGTTTTACTAAATTAGGAGTTAATGACAGTTAATGAATATTAATGATGGCACATAATCACAAAAAAGAATAATTTTACATTTTAATAATCTGGACTCTCCTCTGGGTTAGTATTGACAACTTTTAGCAGTAATATAATACTTTTTATAACTTTAAATATAATATGAAGATGAAAAGTAATTTGAAAGAAACTATGACCAAGATTTGGCTGGACAGAATACTGAGACTTTTAATTCTGGGGAACAAATAGGGCAAACTTAAGTGTTACAACTCAAGGATCTTGTGTTTGTCAGTCTATTGTAGTGACCAGTGGTAAGGAATTAATTTTCCTTGTAACATGTTGGTGACTTTCTTACCTAGAGAGCATGCCCAGAGGTGTAACATTAAGTGATCCCATCAGCATTGCCAGGGCCATCCCTGGCGCTTCCCGTTCTATTACTTCTTTTGTGGCCTGTAATTAAAGATTAAATAGTAAACTGAGTGAAATTAGCCAAAAAGAAGGAATGCAGAGTAGTAAAAGTAACTTCAAAATAATTATAAACCATGCTTTCTATAAATCGTTCTTTGTAGATCCTCAAACATTTTATTAAGGCATTGAGACTCAGTTCTTTGGGACCACTGAATAAGAGCTCAGGACCACGATGTGGGGGGGTCTTTTATATCAGCAGACCTTTCTTATCCTTTACAACTCAGAAGTGTTTGATAAAAGTCTCATACTGCCTAATAACCTGATTTTAAAAGGAAGTATCAGACTGCTATAATAGCACAATAGATTTTCACAGGGTAAGAAATCAGGGTTTGTTTTTTTTTTTTTTGGTCAATTACTCTTGAAATAATTAGTCCATGAAAACCTGAGATGATGTTGTATCTCTCCTAGCTCTAATTTTATGATATAATGAAAAAGAACTCAAAAAGTTACCAGGCAACTTTTCCCATGTATTGGGTAAAAGAAAAGCTCTAGATTACATATCTTCAACATAAATTAACTGTTTTAATAATAATTAATAAAGTGATAGGCTTTAATCATATAATAGAAGTTTTGAGAAAGGGCATTCTTCAGACAAGTGTGTTTAAATCTGGGATAAGCTAATTAAGGAGACAGGAAAATTTAATTTTCTAAAGGTGAACCAAAATAAGCTTATATTTATTATTCTGTGATGGTAAAGATAAGATTTAGGTTAAAACTTAGGAGTGAAATATATGATTTAATCAATTTCTAATCCTCTGTTTGTATAGATATAACAGATTTTAATACTTCAAGGTGGTAAAAAATGAAATTGGTAAAAGAAAATGTTCCAGTACATAAGAAAAATGAAAATAAAATAAAAAGTAAATTACAGAGTAACAGAGGGAAAGGTTCATATTTCAATATTTAATTAGAAGTAGAGAGATATTCCTAAATAAGACTGTAGCTCTGGGAAAAATTTTGGTTGAGGACTGGGCAAAGCAGTTATTTTATCTCAAGTATGTGTAGTATGTGTTAGAAGTCAGTTGATACCATAAATAAGCTCTTAAGATACTGTAAATTAGTTAATCCCTTAGAATTACACAAAAGAAAGGACCACTAGAGTTGATGTAATCTACAATACTTAACAATGGCAGAATTTTAAAAAATATAATCTTTATTATATTTTACCATTACCATTTAGCCTCCTTATCCCCCTCCTGCCAGCAATCACTCCCCTGTTGTGATTGTAATTTTGATGATGCCCATGTGTCCTTTTTCCTTTATGGTCAATCCTTCTACACCCTAACTTCCTCTCCCCAAATTTTTAAAGGAAAACTAACACTACCAAAATGCTTTTCAATAAAATGTGCTTTAAAATAGAGGGCCAGAAGGCAGGACAAAAGGAAATTCTTAAATTCCTAAATTTGGGAGTTGATTACTTTCTTTTAAAAATATAATTAAAAACTGTCAAGCTAGCTTTATCCAGAATCTATCCCTTGTTTTCCAAATCCAATCTATTTGGTATGATTTTGAGGTATCTTGATAAGAAACACTAGTTCCATGTTATAGTAACATACTCTAAAGTATAGCAGCATACTTTGAAGATAAGGAAAGAAAATACTGACATATAGCTGAGAGGAAGTCTTTCACTTAAATAGATGGATGAAATATTTATCCATGTCTATATTAGTTATTAGGATACCCACTATGTTATAAGAATAATTCTACACATTGATGTAGCATTAATGAAAACAAACATATAAGACAGTGTAAACTCACTGTTACCTAGTACATAATAAACTCAATTGGCAAATTATATTTGAAAACTACCTAAAGGGGATGCAAATCATTAAATTTTCTGGAGACTCTAAAACAGAGGTGTCAAACTCATTTTCACCGGGGGCCACATCAGCCTCGCAGTTGCCTTCAGAGGGCTGAAATAATTTAGGACTGTATAAATATAACTACTCCTTTAATTGTTAAGGAGTTGAAATTATATTCGGCTCTTTGAAGGCAACTGTGAGGCTGATGTGCCCCATCCCACCCCGTGAAAATGAGTTTGACACCCTGCTCTAAAATATACAATTGGATTTGGCCAGATCACAGTGGACCACCTGTAATGCCTCATCTCACTTTTTAAATAATTGTTTTTTACTGGATGTTTCTTTTGTGGCATGCAATTGAAGACAATGAAATGTCTTAGTGAAATGCAGAGTTATATTAGATAGTATTTGAGGCCATTGTTTACCACACTGTGGTTCACTTTAAGAGAGAATCTATATATAGGAGAGAGTTCACAACTTAAGTGTCACAACTAAAAATGGGTTCTTTTCTGTGCTACCAGTATTTTTTAAAAAATTATGTGGCTTGTAAATAAAGCAACCAGAGGGGAAGGAGGGGGGAGGGAAAAGAAGGGGAAGGTTCTAGTCAAGAAGTAGGTATAGATGACCCATGGTCATGGACAACAGGGTGGGGACTGACTGTGGGATTGGTGGGCAGGAGAGAGCAATGGGGGCAATTGTGAAAACTGTAATAGAACAACAATAAAAAAGTTACCCTTGAGGACAGAGCCAAATTCATAGATACCTTTTTAGTAGACTTCTGGAACACAATCTAGTTTCATCTTATTCTTCCACATTTATCTTATTAAAAGTTGTGTTTTATATATTTGGGTATATCATCTGAATTAATTTTAGGGTATATATATATATATATATATATATATATATAGATTAATGAACATCATGTATTCTTTACACAGAGGTCTTCATCTTTTTCCAAACATAATTTAGGGAGGACAGTTAATTTTTTCTGAAGACTTTCTAGAGAATTTTGGCTTATAGACATAAATCTTGTATTTTTAGAGCAGAAAAGATAAATATATATTGTGTTGATGTCACTAAAAGGCACTGGTGCTGACAATGGTGATAGAGATGGTCAGACTCTTTGGGACTAGACACACAAGCCTTTTCTATGGGGTATCCCTAAATAATGTACAAATTAGGCCTTTCTCACATCTAGGTCAAATATATCTTTCCCATGAAACAATGGAACCTTCTATTTCCTTTTTATTTTCTCTCCCTCTTAAGCTGTGTGGTACAGCAGTGAGATCACCATCCAATGCCACTACATAGTTAAGGCCCATAAGAATACAGGCTGGGTGTATTGCAGCACCTAGCACAATACTCTACATGTAGTATGTATACTCAGTAAATTTTGTTGAATAAAAGAATTCATGAATGAGTGAACCAATATGGGTTTGAAACCTGACTTTATCACTTAGTTGTTCAGTGGATTAGAACAAAATATTTAATCTCTCTGAGGTTCAGTGTAATTATGAATAAAATGGAGATAATGCTAAAACATACCTACATCTTATGAGAACTAAATGATGTAAGTAAATCACCTAGCACAGAGTAGGTATTCAATACATGTCAACTCTGTCTCTACTTTCCAATTGACCTTACATCCTTGTAGTTTTGATCATACTAGTTAGAGAACAAAATATAAAAATCCAGAAACCAAACCTATGAACAGTGGTTGATAACTAAAGCTGAAGGAAAAGAGAATGGAGAGCAAGAACCTAAATCTCGGAGTGTTGGCAAATGGGGGCAGGAAGCAGAAACTGAAATAGTGACATCTAAAGGGAACAGGAGGTCAAATGATGTGGGAATTAGGAGTCAGGTGAGTAAGAGCTGGTGAAAGCATCTATAAACCAAAGATGGGAAGGCACAACTAGAAGAAAAAGAACAAGAAAATAAAACAAGAAAAAGTGATCTAAATTATTAAATATTCAAACAAAAGAATAGTTTTAACAAATGTAGCTTTATCCCTTCAATCGTGTGCACTAGTTTGCTACAGATAATGAAGGTTATCCATGCCATTATTATCCATGTAGATAACAATTATTCATTATCAATAAACTGTTCATAATCAGTGGCAAAGAGGATGCCATTAGAAGTTTGAAACCATTTTTCTTAATTAGCTTAACATTCCCACTTTCTTATACATTATTAATTTGATTATCAAATTCTTTTTCCTTGAGCAATAGTAGAAATTTATATTCCTACTTCAGATATAACCTTTTGTGAACTAGAAAAGTCCAAAACAATGAAGTTTAATTGGATCCAGCTTTTATCTTTAAATTAGGCATTTTATCTTTAACTTCTAAATACTTTCTAAACTATGGAAGTTGCAACTTCCTATGGAAAATCACTTACTGTGATCTTTTAATTTTACCCTTGACACTTTGAAGATAACATAAAAGTCAGAAAGATGCTTCAAAGATGGCTCAAAGTGGCAGGGAAAAAAAGTGTGCATAAATAATGGTTGTGTAGGCCAGGGAACTTGCCAGTGAAATTCAGGTTCATTTGTAACTTCACAGGAAAAATGACCTTAAAAAATGTTATTGCTAACAGACAATTATGTTTAAATATTTCCAGGATACCCAACAGCTACATGTAAATGTGTAGAAATTGCTTATAAGCATGGTGATTGTGAAAAAACACTTAGTCTAGTGCTTTTAATTATTTTTATAGGCATTTACTAAGAGCATAATTTGTATTAATATTTACATGTTTGTTATTTGACTACATGTAGATTTAACAATATTTCCTTGTAATAATTACTGCAGTGCCCTCTGCTGATTAAATAATCTTAAGTAACAAAGAAAATCTTTGAAACATCATCTAATGGCTATTAGTAATGTTGCAAAGCTATTAAGATAGGACATGGTCAGAGGAGAGGTTCTCATATTTCAGGGAAGTATAATCTGATGATAATGTATTTTTTTCCATGAATTTTTAGCCTCCTTCTTAAACATTTACATCTTCTCCCACTCCTGGAAAAAGCAGAAAGCTTTTCAAAATGAATATACTTCATTTTGTTTTTCAGTTAAAGTTGTGCAATATTTAAATAAGATATGGTTATTTAAATGTACAATATTTAAATAAGATATTATTTCTCTCTAAATGTAGAGAGAAAGCAAAAATAAAAGAGTAAAG